CCCATACTCTCTGTATAAGTGTGTCAAGGGGGAATTGCAAAATTCCTAAAGTCAGGTAAGTGAATTATAGCAACTTTAATAGGAAATTCATTCTTCTTGTGGCTATTGAAAGAAATATCACTAGAGATTACATCTTCTCAGGATACAGCATCTGTCTGAACAGAAAATAAAGTCCGCTGAAGTCAATGGAAAGGCCATTCTTCTGCAGGTCTGGATGAAGTGGCATCTGTTCTGTTTTCTCTCTGCTAGTCATGCAGAGACTGCTCAGCTATCTCAGTATGCAACACAAAAAACCCCACCCAAAGCTGCACAACTGTGCAGTGTTAGCTTTCAATGGAAATTTTGACAGTGCAGAATTACCAAGATAAGAAATTTTCTCTTTACAGTCCTTGATAATAAGGTTTTGTAGCGTTTGCAAAAAAAACCCCTGTGGTTTCCCCACAGGAAACCCATGATACTGCTTGTAATAGGAGCCATAATTTCAGGAGCAGATAATGAAATAGCATTGTGCTTAACACTGGCTTAAGTAAAATAGTGATATTCAGGACTTTGTCTACGATGCACAAATGACACTGATTTTTTAAAAAATTTATCATTAAAAACAAAATTTACTGTAAGAGTCAGAAGAGCTCTCTGCAGTATTTGAGGCTGGCTTGAAAGGCCTCACTCTTTCCGGCAGCTGTTTTATGCCAACCTCTCTTTTGTAGCCTTGTTGCTCATTTATGTTCACTACACAAGGACCACCAGGTCTGCACCTGCAATCTAAGCAAAGACCCACATGCTAAACTCAGAAGAAGAGTTCTACTTCGATAAATTCATGAGATTAGAACCAGAGCAGACTCCACTTCAGCATAAACTCCCCTGAAAGAATTTCTGCTGTAGTTATTTTCCCCAGCAAGTATGAGGAGATTAATTATTAAAAATATATTCCCACTTCAAACAGAAATGTCATGACATCTTGCAAGAATACCTACAGTTTTCAAGACTTTTATTATGAACAGTCTCTTTTTCATTCCCTGCAAGGGGGTTTCCCACATCACCACTTAGCATTGAAAACGACATCATTTTTCAAAGAAACATTATCATTTGAGTAGTGATTGAGAAAGTAGGCATTTGAGGCCTGATTCTGTTGTCAGCTGTGCAATTTATTTCACATTCAGGAAGCTAGAATAAACATGCATTCTGCTGTCTTAGAAAAGTACAACTTGCTGGCAACATGCATACATTGCAAAAATGAACTCAACTAAACGACTTAAGTAAAGACATACACATTTATCAAGTCAAATGCATTGGAGCCTTGTGCTATCTGCCTGTTAAAATTGCATTTTCTCCAATTACACTTGAAAAATGTAATATTTAGTTTTAATACACATTTTCTAAGAAACAATTAAGGCAGTCCCCAGAAGTCTTCTTTTAGTGGCATAGCAAATACTTTCTTCTTTGAAAACAAAGAGGAAGGATTCAGGAGGCCTCTTCAATTTCTCAAGGTGTAGGAAAGGGAAGGTACAAACTTTGAAATTACTTTTTACAGGTCAATAAGGGTGAAAATACCTTTCCCTTGAGGTTTCCAGTTATGTACAGCAAATTCCAGGTTTGGAGGAGACTGCTGGGAACCGCTAAAGTATTGCTACCTTTTTAAGAAACCACAGCAAAATGTTCCATCCTGCCACGGTTCATCCAGAACCAGAAAAGCACTTTAAATATATAAATTTTAGTAATGGTCTTGTTTCTGGAAACTTGCTGACCTCTTCTGTTGGGATCTCAGCAATGTTATAGTTTTCCCTTGGTCAGCCACTGCCTTAGCTCCATGCTCCTTGGCAACATTCTGCTATCTCATCAAAGAAGTTAGATATAGATATCTATAGATAACATGTTCGGCTGCTGTCACATATTTCCTTCCTCAAAAAATTAGTATAAATCTTCCAGTTTCATATATACCACTGATGCAGAAATATACAAGTTGAAGGAACTTCATAAGTGTGGCTTACCATCTCCTAGAACACAAGTACTTAACACAGGCAGATTTTCTATTCCATTCCATAGATAGAACCATGTATTTTCAAGAAAAACCCCACTACATCCATAATGTACTCCCCCCCTCCTCCCTGCCCCCATACACTAATATCAAGCTTAGAAAGACTTAGTTAAGCCCAGAGAGAGAAATTCAAGATCCTCTCTCTCACTTTCTAAGTATGGCTTCCCTTTCCAACATAGAGTGGTCTTTCATGCCTGCTTTAGGATGCTTCTGCTTGTCTTTCCCTAAAACAACAAACAAAATACTACTTTATAAGCTTTGTTTTTACTTTGTCAATTGATCTCTCAGTCAGCTTCACTCAATCATCATTCTGCCAAACAGTGCTGTTTGACTCCATTTGAGCACAGACTTTCTCCTTCATGTACCTCTGTGCACATCAGTATTTAATAGTACTCCATTTACCTTCTTCAAGAACAAATAGCAAGAGCTATTTCCAGCCAAGTCGGATGTCCACTTGACATATAGATTCTTATCTTGGATACATCAGCAGCATATGTTTACCAAAGATCACATAAGTAGCTAAGCAGTCAGAGATACTTTCCCAGAATATGCACCCAGCAGTTTATAACTTGGGGACTTTCAAGAGAAGAGAAAATGTCTTTGTACATGATAGATGTGGATGGAGTAGCATTACCTTATGTCATGTCTTTCTAAAATTAGGCACGATTTGTCCTTGTCTTTATTATCCTGAACAACAGCAATTTAAGCAGACTACTGGCTCACTAAGATTTTTAACATAGCACCGATACAAAGGCCAAGAAAGAAAAATAAGAAGTATATTTATAAAATCCATATTCACGATGAATTTTACAGCCTGCAATGAATAATTTCTTGCTATCTAATGGAGCTTTCCATCTATTGCAGGCTGCCCAAAATAACCTACCAAGATTATGTTCAATCCAATAGACCTCACTTCTGCAGCCAGTCAAAGCTGATACTCTACAAGAATGATTTTCTTTCGGAGAGCAGAATTATTAACACACTACCAGGACTATGAACCCAGAAGTCCCCTGCTGCATTCTCAGTGTTCACCTTTCCATTATGCCCCTGACTATCTCCAAAGGAGTTTATTCCTTTTAAGATTCTTGTTCAGACTGATAAACATTTCATTCTGCATCCTCTGCAGATGTCAGATTTACTTCTCATGCTCTTTGCTGAGGAACTAAGCAGCTGTCTCCTTTTTTACAAGGCATATCTCTCATTCTCTCCAGCTTCCTCTCAGTTCAGGATCCTTCTTTTTCTTAACAAGAGGCCTCCTCTTGAGATGCATACTTGCATCAGATTGCCCAGGAGTCTTCTGTTCACTTGATCCTACAACATGGAGCTGCTAAATCCAGTCGTTATAACTGGTCAAGTCCTTCTCCTTCCCTAGGCTCAAGACAATCCCTTCAAACGTGTGAATTGCAGTCTCCACAAAAAGGGAGTTCTTCCCTGCTTAAAGCACGGTTTAGACTACAGATCACAGAATGCATCACTTACTGAAAGGAGCTCTAGTTCTATATCCTAGTTTTCAGTGAAATGTGATGGACCCATGCTTTTTGGTTTAACAATGAGAAATTTTGATTGTACTCGTATTTATGAGTGGGGTGTCTAAACTCAATTGCTGGTAAATGCCAAAGCTGTGTCCACTTTAAAACAGTGTAGTTTTTCATGCAAGTTTTCATCGTAATAATTACAACCTGAAAAACAGTATAAAATGTAAGAGTTCCAGACATTTTCAATATTTTTATATTAATTGCTCCTCATCAACTCACTTCGTTATGATAGAGCTCTGAGTAGTTAAGAGTCTATAACACCTTTGGAATCAAATAGAAGTGTATAGTATATTAATCAAGGCTAACCTGCTCCTTCACGTTCAAATAAAATGCTAATCCAGTAAATTATTTCTTAAGACTTGATTGAAGGCAGTTAATAAGAAAATAATATTCCAAAGTAATAAAATCCCAAATAAACATACACTGCAAAGGACATTTTCTCACATAAGAGACTTTCTCAAAGAGCAATGTTTTACATTGCTCCTCAGATGACACTGAGGGTTATTTCAGCGTACGTGTTCCAAAAAGACAAACATAGTCACGTGGTTCTCTTTTTCTCCTAAGAAACCCGTCCTGCTTCTACATTATACATAAGTGGAAATAAGATTCTTTGCAAAAAAAAATACCAACCCAAAACCTTGGAATTTAACAGAAAGATTATCTGAAAATGCTCAGAGTGCAAGCTTCCTCTGGAAGAAGCTACTCTGATGTTGAGAATAAAATGGTTTCTCTACCCAAACACAGGCATGTTTCATTAGATTTTAAAGACAAATACACACAGTAGGGCACATGCTGCCTTACCCTCTCTTTCCACAACTGTTCTGGATTGTGGAAAATTCACAGACTTTAAAGAATGGAGGAAGGATATTATGATATCCTAACCTGACCTTCCAGAGCTGGCAGTGGATCATGTCTCTGATTCCCATTTCAGCTGGGCTCTCTCAGCAATGGACTTTGAGACTTGTTTCAGAAACCTCAAGAGATAAAGAGCCGAACAGCACTCCTATGAAAAATAGTTCTGTAATTTAGTTTAAGAGGTATCTAAATACTTCTGTTGAATTCAGCATAATGTCACAAACAGGAAGACAGAGTATGGTTCTTATATGAATGTTACTAAAGGTTTATATCGCATAAAATGGAACTAATACCTCTGTACATGCTGATCTGTGGCAAGACAGGTGAATTATCAGTGCAAGTGCACACAAATATTTTATGCCTCTCTTGCAGGCAAATACTGAAGGAGACCGTCAGTTTGCTAGTGAGGTTATAAAAGCCTGAACCACATATCCTGTTTGTAAGAAAGCAGGTGAAAAAAAAGGCTGGAGACCTTTAAGACTGACAGCAACTCTAGAGATAGATTCATGCTGCCAGGTCCAAAACAAAAGAGCATCCAAGATCTGCCAACATAACTTGATTTCCCGTTGGATAAAGGGGCAGGGAGTATTCCTAGAAACAACAAAACAAGGTAAGAGTTATCTTTTCAGTATTATAAACTTGCGAACAAAGGAGCAGTAAAAACACACTATAGTAGATTATCGGTCTTCCAAGAAGGTTGCTCAGGGTTCTGAAGTCAAATTATTAATAATAATCATGATGACAATGAGTCATCATTAACAGCTTAAATCTTCATTAATTAAGGTTTGTTAATGAAGACTAAGTATTGGCATTAGTTTTATGTTTAAAATATTTACTGTGCTGAGGGTTTATTTTTTTACAATGCGCTGCTTCCCTTCTGAAGTATGAAGTTGATATCTTACAAAGCAATTAGTTGTGCACTAATTAATTGCAGTTTAAGGAATCCTTTTTGGAGGATTAAGCCTGTCTTAAAAACTCACACAGGTGGAAGCATCTTTAATGCTAATTTAGCATTCATCAGACTCTTAATAGGTTTATTTTTCTAAGGGTCATTAGTACAGAATATTATTTATTTCACCACTAAAAACTGGAAAAGGGGGGGAAGCAAATTTTATCTCATCTTTGACAAATTTGCAGACAGAAACAACAGGAAACAAACCATTTTGTGCTCCAGATCATCATCATCATCTTAAATCTGGTAGCGCCCAAACTGATTAATCTGCTTCTATGAACGATGAGTTGATACCATAGATGTCATGTCCAGCTAGAAAGGTATCTATATTCCCCACCTCATGTGCCTTTTCAGTAGGAAAAACTGGTAGAAGTATGATATCTTCCTGTTATGCTTTGTGATGGATTCTCTAAACAAAATATATTAGAAGAAGAAGGAACAAAACAATACTTCTGCTACCTACTTTTAAGCTGTTAGGAGGATAAATTTCTATCCCTGAAATCTTAAATCTGTCTCCTTTCCGAAAGGTAAGTGCATTATTATGACCACTTTGAGTTGCAATAACATTGTATTGCAGAAAAGATTAGAATGTTTAGGGGGCTTTTGTTTAGTTGGTTTGGTTTTGTTTTTTTTGTTTTTTTTTTTTCCTTCTTAATTGTGTTCTGCTGTTCATTACAGTATAATGAACCCTGCAAAGAGAAACCTAAGAACAAGTGACCAAAAGTCTATTTATTCCCATGTCTTGTCTCTGTTGGTGGAGAAAGCTGGACAATAGATTTAAAAAGGAGAAAAACCACAATTAACTATGCCTTTAGAAAGTCTTGTTTGCCTGTATTTTGGTGTGTGAATATAGTACCTTTAGTTTATAGCAGTGTAAAATATACTAAGAAGAGGTGAGTAACCCCATCCCTGAAGTCAGAAAAGTTAAAAACATCATCCAGATGGAGTAAATTACCTAAGGTAGATGTTCTCAGACGCAATTCCAAGTTTGACCACGTTTCCAAATAGAAATGAAAGAACAGCGGAATAGGAACGTATCATTAATATTAGAGAGATTCTGGTATTAGGTATTCAAAATACTGTCATCTTTATAATGGTTAAATGTAGTACTTCCCCCACTCACACATCCCAGCTTCTAACAGTAAAACAAGAATTGTCCTTCTCATGAAACCTTTGGTTATATGATGAACTTTTTTCTTTCAGAGGAGCACATTACTTTAAGAACAGCTTCAATATGATTTCTAATGAACAAAATACTATCACTCTTAGGTTTTTCCATCACAGATAGACTAGAACAGAAAACCCTGATGGAATTTGAGCTGATTTTATGTGAATCATAGTGCAATATTCCCAGGGGCCTAATTTTTCCCTAGGACTTTTTTTCAAAGATAGAACAAAATTTTTTACAATATTCAATTTGATGGCAGTTGTGTGAGAATGTCCCTGAACCCAGTGTTACACAATCTTTGGAATAAATATGTCATATGTGACAAATAATAATCTGGTTTTGTTCCGTTTGACAGTAGATGACTTGAATGAGAATTAAAACTAGAGAATAGAAGACACTATTTCAGAACAGACTTTAATTAGTCTAGTAGACTTCTCATTCTCTTTACATCTCACTCTCCATTCACATTTACCTTATCTTTTTTTTGTCCTTAGCACAGCTGTCACAGGTTGCATCTGCTCTTATATGTATAGGGACAGCAGTGTAGTTATTTGAGGAGACAAACTGTTCTTCACTCAGGTATCCAGCTTTCTTCCTACAGCTGCTGTTGACAAAGTAGTAAATATTTAAATAGTGCAGTTGTAAATAGCTATCATATTGACAACTATAAGGGTGGTACAAGAACATCTGGGAAAGAGCTGGGAGTTGTATATCTGTAAAGATAAGATATAAAATCAAAATCTCTCATATTTCTTGCTTGGAAAGCAAGATTAACTTGAAACTGCCATTAGAAAAAACATAAAGCACTCAGAGAAGCACCAGCATGTCTCTGATCAAGGCCTTTACTATCGTTTTATGGGGTAAACGAAAACTGCTGTTGTTTCTGAAATATAATGTTGTCTGACAAACAAATAGCTTGCATTGCAATAACAAAAAGAATTTAAAAATAAGATACTGAAGTCGCACATATGTTTGTATACATTCTACTGAAATACAAGCAGATGTTTAAGTCAGTGTTGTGAAAAATAAATTTAAAAATAAACTAAGTAGTTGTCAACTAGAAATAAATTTAAATGTTGTTTACTTAATCTCCCCAACCCATGCAGTTTTCTAAGTCATGTTTAAGAAAGAACTCTAGATTGTGATGTTTAAAACATTGGTACATTTTATTAGAAGTCCATGTTTCATATGTTTTGTTAGAATATTTTTAAAGGCCTAGAGAAGTGGGATTGCTCAAATACTGTAGAAGTTAAACTTGAAACTGAAAAGGGAAAGAACTTTTTTTCCAATCTCTACTGTTTTCCAGATGATAATTCCTATTTAAATCAGGAGCTTAAGCATGAAATAATACTTGTCATCAAAACTTTGGTTTCCTCCTCCACTTCACTTAAGGGCTGAAAATATTCAAATTGAAACTGAGTTCTTCTACTCTGGAAACACCAAGGAAAAATAGGATTACTAACTCAGAAAGATAAATGGCAGCATTCAGTATCAAGAAAAATGTATGTATTTAGGTTGGAACTGTATTTTAGGTATCTACTCACTCTTTTTAGTCCAGTGAATCACAGGGTTGTAGTTTCTATCAGAGTTGCACATGCTTCCCTTCTCTTAGGCCACAATACTGCTTTTTCTCCCTAGAATTAAAAAAAGAGTTTGTAGGAAAAGAAGTACAAAACAAACACAAGAAAAATGGAAAACAATTACTACAGAAAAGATAAAAGGACAGGAGAAGGAGGAAGAATTACTCTTATTATATAGGCACTACATTGAGACTTAAAAGCTCTTGCCTTTGACATAGACTCTTGTAGTTTTGGACAGGTTGCATAGGATGTTGCAAATGTTGAGTGACTAATTGTAGAGTTCCCGGGTTCCAAACACTGGTGGTTCTTGATGTGGCCTGATAACATCTTCTCAAGGTAGGATCTCCTTTTCTTTTAATTCCTTCTCTGTAAAGTTGGAATAATATACAGCTGCTTCATGGGGCTGTTGTCTCTCTTTATGAATGTCTGTATGTCATTGCAAAAAAGTGCCTTTCAACATGGAAAGTCGTATTGCAGTGATGAAGAACCCTCAAACACCTTTGGGAAAACTCAAGCAAAAGAAAAGAAAGGAATGGAAATTGGATGTTCAGTATGAAAGGAAGGATAAAGGGCCACTGGAAGTACCATGTGCAAAAACCAGTTACAAGTCTGTCAGAAAGTTATAGCTTATTTATTTGCTCTGTTTTGTTCCCTTTAAAAGAGAGGTCTGATGAGGAAGGAAACCTGCATCATAGAAGCCCATGTGATTTGTGAATTTTTTTACTACCAAGCATTATCTTATCTTGTTTCATCATCATCACCATCAAAACATCTGTGCCTTGGAATATAACAAAACTGAAAGAGTTTTTGCAATGCCAGCATAATTAGGGAACAAAAGCATAAGGGGCAGTTCCTAAAATGAGCTGGAGCAGCTCAGCCAAGAACAAAGCTCTGTCTTCTCAGTGGGAGCAAATGTATTGCCTGCCACCGCCCCTGGCCAGCAACATCGGAAAGTGTATTCCTGTACTCTTTTACCTCAGCTTTCCTTTAAGAAGCAAATGAAATGTCAGCCTCCTGAAGGAATCCAGCGACATCAAAACCAAATAAGTATATTCAGGATCTGCTCAAATCTCACTCTGACAGAATCGTCCAGTCTCTCCCCTTGACTGCCCTGCTCCAGTTAGACTTTTTGGTATGGTATTAGTGGAGTTAATTAGTTCTTGGGACCAGGCTTTATTTCAAACACTCCAAATCTAGAAGAACATGAAACATGCCTCTGGGGAAAATGAAAAATCTAGCTTCAAGCTCCTTTCACCCATGAATGTGGCTCAGCATTTCTTGACAAGGAAGGGTTTTGCAGGCCATTTGCAACAATGCTGATCATTTTGGCCATTAGACTGTCACAGGCTATTTTCTTCAGCATGGTTTGTGATGGAAAATTTATATGAGCTAGGTTAATCGAATAATTAATTAAATGACAAAATATCTTTGGTGCAGAGGGGTTCCTTCCTGTGTTTCTAGGAGGACTCCAAGGAGAGGCAAGTTCAGTTCAAAAGAAGGCATTGTCCAATTAAGTTGACCCACCTTTTATCAAGGGATTCTTTAGGAGCTGTTTGGGTTTTTCACCGCAGCAGTTCTGGGGTGTTCACTTGTCCCCATGCTTTGCCACTACATCCTCTGCTTTCCCAGGAAGGAGGGCGAGGATATGAGTACAAGTAAGTGATTATAAGGAGATGCAAGAAAACACATAAACAAACTTGGACATTTGTTGCACCGGTTAAAACCTGATGGTCTTAGCTATTATTCAGAGACATTTCCAGTGAGGTAAGATGATTTGTTGGAATTAATCTTCAGAACTACATTCATGAGCTCTAGAATGTAGCCAAAAATATCCTGCAAATAGTAAGTTAAAGACAGTTACAAAAGCAATTTCAAAGTTATTCACTAAAATGACTTTTTTCTTTAGCAATTTCTGATTTTTACTACATATTACAGGCAACCCAATAGCCCAGCCTTAGGCTGAATTACTATTTAAGAGCAGTTTTGCTAAGAGTTTATTGATGTTGCTTTCTTATTATTTAGCATCTGGTTTTGATATTAATTATTTAGCTTATATAGCAATGGCTGTCACAGAGTAAACAACAAAATAGCGGTTTCAATTACAGAAAGCAAAAATCAACCAACCACAAAGAATACAGTAAAACTGTTAGACAACACAAACTATACAATTATTTTCTTTCAGTTATAGAAATGGACTGCCATTTTTCTGTCTGGGCAGTTTTGGCCTTTCTGAGCTTGTCTCTGGTCGTTTCGTTGATACTGAACATTTCACACTATATGAAAAAGAAGAAAGGTAAGTAATGTCTCTCTGTAAGAAATGGACTATGAGTGTTTAGAGTGTCTGTAGAGAAAGCCATCATTGCTGGGGGATTGCAAGCCAACAAAATCATTGTTTTGAATTTTAAAGCTATCTTTTGGCAAGAATGATTCTAAGTAGAGAGGATGCAACTTTTAAAAATTTTGAGGAGAGTCAGGTATGATTACAGAATGATTGCTAGCCGCCCCATCTGCTGCTAAAAACAGCTACCCAAAGCCATTCTCTGAAGGCAAACCAATGGAACATGTACAAGGTGATGGATTTAGTTCCGGCTAAATCTTCATTTTTAAAGCATATTTTTAACATCTGAAATTTCCTTTTTTAAGTATACTTTTCATGTAACTGCTTATTATTTGTACTTTAATTTAAAAATTATTTTAAGTAGTTGCACTGTACAAAATACATTTGAGAAAATTTTTCCCTCTCAAAATTTAAGAATGCTTATTTGAATTTCAGATTTCATACACATTTTATGCTTAACCAATTTGTTTTGGAAAAAAGTTCTAACTGCTTTTCATCATGGGATCCTTATGTAGCTCTTAAACCAAAGTGTGACCCACAATAAGTAACTGATTTGTTTAATTTATGTTAAAAGGTGACTATAGTCATACTGTGGTTTTGGTTAAAATTAACTATGACTTTTTTTCACAGAATCAGTTATGGCAGTGCAACCTCTCTTATGCATACAACTGTATAGTTATTAAGTTGTACACACTCACCACTCAGATTCAGGGAAAAAATACCTTTTACAGTGAGAAAACTGCACCTGTGTGATATGTGCATGGGTGGGCAGGCAAACACTGGTGGATTCAACCACGTTAAATACATAATCTACATAAACAGAGGGCCCATGTATGCTATGCTATTAAGCTGAACCCACCAAGTATAAGAGAATTAGATTATTACAGGATATTAAAAGAGCTGCTGGAGTGCTGCAGAGTGGGTGGGTACCTTTTTGGTTTATTTTGTCTTTTGAGGCTGCTAGGCAGATATTTTTATGATAAAAAAATCACAGTCATTTACAAAACTAACCTTGAGCAAGGTTTCAGTCAAGTTGTCATTGCTCATGGAATCAGAGCTTACTGTGGTAAATTCTGGAGTCCTGGAGCAGAAGGTAGAAAGTCAGGCAATCCTGAGCTATTAATCAAGCTCTAGCAATAAAACTTTTTTTAGCCATTGACTCTCTGCTTAAATTTCTTCACCTGTGGGAATCACAGGATATCTCTCTTCAGAGAGGTAAGAAACAGAACTAGTAAAATAAATAAACCCTTCACTTTGTAATATAAAGACATGATGCACCTCCCTAGGCAGAGAAAAAGATGAGGTAGAAGCAGGAGGAAATAAGGAATTAATCGTATGTGTTACAGTACATTTTTTGGGTCTTGTAAACTAATGTAGGCTTTGCAGCCACAGCACAGGGTCATAACACAAACATTTCCTGTATTAGTCTAAAGTATTTGAGAAAAGCAGGGTGACAACTGAAAGTCTTGAGAGCCAAGAGCTTTCAGTTTTACTCTCTACAGTGAAATCAAAAGCGTGTCAGTTGAGACAACTATCTCAAGTGTTCTAAGACAGCCCATTTCATTTTCTTTTTCTTTTTTTTTTAAACAAATTTTCCAGCTAAAAAATATAAAGACTATGAAGACAACAGTCCAAGGTAAGTTGAATAAAAAAGTTTCTTTCTGACAAAGATGAAATAAGCAATAAATAATGACAGATAGCTTTAGAGGGGTGGTGTAGACGAAAAATCCAGTATCTCAAGCAGCCTGCCTGGGAACATCAGAGAACAGTACAGTTGTAAAAAAAAAGAGTTTTCGAAAGAAAAGAGGAAAAAAAAATTACGTGGGAGAGATGTACTCGTCATTTTATCAATGAAATAATTGCATGCTAATATGATAATTTTATATACTGAAGGATGTGCAAGATGTCGAGCTAAACATTTATTATGACTCAAAGTCAATGAACCTATAATAATTTTAAAGAACTCTCAGGAAACAATAATATATTATAACTCTATATATTGTATTATTGTTTCCTGATATTTAATACCTGTGAAGCAATAGTTTACATGTATTTATGTTCCATACTCTTTGTTTACACATGGTGTTCAAAAGCAATAAAATAGAGTCTGTTTACAGCTGCTGGATATCTCATGATCTGTTACAAGTCTGTTTGTCTTGTTCTATATTAAAAAAACACCAAACTTTAGAAAAGAGATATGGGAAGCCTCTTCTCAACCCAAATATAAAAGGCCCTTGAAACAAAAATACAAAAGCCTCCATCTGTTTCCCCAAACCAATCCTCAATTACAAATTTACTTGAAGTTGGGAAGTCTCTATTACTGCCTGTTCAGTTGAAAAACACCACTGAAGAAGTGATGTTAGATTGCACTACTTAATTCCCTTGATGAGGCACAGTATAGGGATGCAATAGGAACAAGGTTACACAGTGCTCCCCACTAACAACTCCCATTGTATAAACGTGCTTAAAAACATTTTCAGGCAACAGCAGGTAATGAAACAGAATATTGTTAAAAATCCAAAGCTGAAATTTGCTTTAGTCTAGTGTCAAGATAAGTATTTTAGTTAAATCAAGAGTGGCCCTTATAAGAACTTCACTCCCGAAGACCCATTTAGTGCTATAGTTTGTACTGCAAAGTGGTCTCAGAGGACATGAACTGGATTTCTTTCAATGATCATTAATATGTTTCTAGAACTATGTCTATCAGTAGCTTAGTAGTCTTGAGATTAGCCTTAAGTAAGTTACAGAAAAGAAGAGTTCAATTCTTGGCTTGGTATCAAATCTCTCTTCAGAATACAGACATTTCTGCCCCCCCCCC